TTTCCTGAAGCTCAGAGCCCCTGAACAGCAATAAATCTTTAGGCTGTCAGCAGATCAGTCTGTAGTGGCTCTGATTTTTCAGCACAGTGTCAAAAAATATAGAGCAACTGAGCATGTGCAGAGCAGGGTGAGAAGTGTATTTTCTGGGTTTTAAACAGTATAGACACTTATTTTTAATGTTTTACATAGCTATACCTGAAAAAGGGGCCCAGCAGGACTTAAAGTGTTACTAAACCCTCGGACCCCGCATTCACTATATACCCCGCATCCCGCTCTCCCCGGACCCCGCATTCACTTTATCCGCTCTCCCCGGACCCCGCATTCATTATATCCGCTCTCCCCGGACCCCGCATTCACTATATCCGCTCTCCCCCGGACCCCGCATTCACTATATCCGCTCTCCCCGGACCCCGCATTCATTATATCCGCTCTCCTAGTAAACTTTTATATAAAATGCTAAATACCTTTTCTCATCAGAAATATATAGCAGTCTTATGGACTTCTATCAGTGTCCAGCAGAGCACTGGTTACAGCTTTGTAGGAGGAGTTTTCACCAGAACATGCAAGAGATTATAATTTGCTAAAGGTGATAATACTAGGCAGGCTGGAAGTGACTCTTACCTTGGCTGGCTTGGAGAGCTGGGTTCATGCAGCTACTCTAAGACTACTACCTACTCCAAGCCTGAGGAGATGACCCCCACTCAGATTGTGGAGCAAGTTGCCATGGACTGCTTCTACCAGGTTTTCTAAGGAGCTGCACTGGTGGTGGCCCAGTCAGTAGCCTCGGTCCACAGATAAGATGGCCACCACAGTTGAACATCACAGCTGTGCAGAAAGCTTCTGTGGGGACCCTTCTGCAACCTGAGAACTGATCTGGATCAAGGAGATGTGTCCCAGTGTGAAGATGCTGCATGTTGACCACATTGTGTATGTCTTGGTGCCCACCGACTCATCCCATACTCTGCACTGTACATTCCCTATTCTACACCGACCCATTCCGTACTCTGCACTGTATATTCCCTATTCTACACCCACTCGTTCCGTACTCTGCACTGTACATTCCCTATTCAACACCAAACTCATTCCGTACTCTGCACTGTACATTCCCTATTCAACACCAACTCATTCCGTACTCTGCACTGTACACTCCCTATTCTACACCCACTCGTTCCATACTCTGCACTGTACACTCCCTATTCTACACCCACTCGTTCCGTACTCTGCACTGTACATTCCCTATTCTACACCCACTCGTTCCGTACTCTGCACTGTGTACATTCCCTATTCTACAACCCGACTCATTCCGTACTCTGCACTGTACATTCCCTATTCTACACGACTCATTCCGTACTCTGCACTGTACATTCCCTATTCTACACCGACTCATTCCGTACTCTGCACTGTATATTCCCTATTCTACACCCACTCGTTCCGTACTCTGCACTGTACATTCCCTATTCAACACCAACTCATTCCGTACTCTGCACTGTACATTCCCTATTCAACACCAACTCATTCCGTACTCTGCACTGTACACTCCCTATTTCTACACCCACTCGTTCCATACTCTGCACTGTACACTCCCTATTCTACACCCACTCGTTCCGTACTCTGCACTGTACATTCCCTATTCTACACCCACTCGTTCCGTACTCTGCACGTACATTCCCTATTCTACACCGACTCATTTCCGTACTCTGCACTGTACATTTCCCTATTCTAACACACCGACTCATTCCGTACTCTGCGATGTACATTCCCTATTCTACACCGACTCATTCCGTACTCTGCACTGTACATTCCCTATACTACACCCACTCGTTCCGTACTCTGCAATGTACATTCCCTATTCTACACCGACTCATTCCGTACTCTGCAATGTACATTCCCTATTCTACACCGACTCATTTCCATACTCTGCACTGTACATTCCCTATTCTACACCGACTCATTCCGTACTTCTGCAATGTACATTCCCTATTCTACACCGACTCATTCCGTACTCTGCACTGTACATTCCCTATTCTACACCGACTCATTCCGTACTCTGCGCTGTACATTCCCTATTCTACACCGACTCATTCCGTACTCTGCGCTGTACATTCCCTATTCTACACCGACTCATTCCGTACTCTGCACTGTACATTCCCTATTCTACAACCGACTCATTCCGTACTCTGCACTGTACATTTCCCTATTCTACACCCACTCTGTCAGGGCTCCCGCGTATGACCAGAGGTACAGTCATGGCCGAAATTGTTGGCACCCTTGATATTTCTCCAGGAAATCATGTATTTCTCACGAAACGTATTGCATTAACACATGTTTTGCTATACACATGTTTATTCCCTTTGTGTGTATTGGGACAAAACAAAAAAAGGGAGGAAAGAAAGCAAATTCGACATAATGTCACACAAACCCTCCAAAAATGGGGCTGGACAAAAGTATTGGCACCCTTTCACAACTGCGGATAAATAAGAATGTTACAAGCATGTGATGCTCCTGTAAACTCACCTGGGGCAAGTAACAGGTGTGGGCAATATAGAAATCACACCTGAAAGCAGATAAAAAGGAGAGACGTTCACTTAACCTTTGCATTGTGTGTCTGTCTGTGCCACACTAAGCATGGAAAACAGAAAGAGGAGACGAGAACTGTCTGAGGACCCTGAGAACCCAAAATTGTGGCAAAATATCAACAATCTCAAGGTTACAAGTCCATCTCCCAGAGAACTAGATTTGCCTTTGTCCACAGTGCGCAACATTATCAAGAAGTTTGCAACCCATGGCACTGTAGCTAATCTCCCTGGTCGTGGACGGATGAGGAAAAATTGATGAAAGATTGCAACGCAGAATAGTCCGGATGGTGGTGGATAAGCAGCCCCAAACATGTTCCAAAGACATTCAAGCTGTCCTGCAGGCTCAGGGAGCATCAGTGTCAGCGCGAAACTATCCGTCGACATTTAAATGAAATGAAACGCTATGGCAGGAGACCCAGGAGACCCCACTGCTGACACAGGAGACATAAAAAAGCAAGACTACAGTTTGCCAAAATGTACTTGAGTAAGCCAAATGCCTTCTGGGAAAACGTCTTGTGGACCAGATGAGGACCAAGATAGAGCTTTTCGGTAAAAAGCACATCATTCTACTGTTTTAACGAAAACGGAATGAGGCCTACAAAGAACAAAACACAGTACCTACGGTAAAATATGGTGGAGGTTCAATGATGTTTTGGGGTTGTTTTGCTGCCTCTGGCACTGGGTGCCTTGACTGTGTGCAAGGCATCATGAAATCTGAGGATTACCAAAGGATTTTTGGGGGTCGCACTGTAGGGCCCCAGTGTCAGAAAAGCTGGGTTTGCGTCCAAGATCCTGGGTCTTCCAGCAGGACCAATGACCCCAAACATACGGTCAAAACAAGCACTCAGAAATGGATGGCAAAGAAGCGCTGGAGAGTTCTGAAGTGGCCACAGCAATGAGCCCAGATCTAAATCCCATTGAACACCTGTGGAGAGATCTTAAAATTGCTGTTGGGAAAAGGGTGTCCTTCCAATAAGAGAGACCTGGAGCTGTTTGCAAAGGAAGAGTGGTCCAAAATTCCGGGGTGAGAGGTGTCAGAAGCTTATTGATGGTTATAGGAAGCGACTGATTTCAGTTATGTTTTCCAAAGGGTGTGCAACCAAATATTAAGTTAAGGGTGCCAATACTTTTGTCCAGCCCATTTTTGGGGTTTTGGTGTGACATTATGTCATATTTGCTTTTCTGCCTCTGTTTTATATTTGTTCCAATACATACAAAGGGAATAAACATGGGTGTGTATAGCAAAACATGTGTTAATGCAATACCCTTTTTTTGTGTGAAATACTTGATTTTCAGGAAAAATATCAAGGGTGCCAACAATTTCGGCCATGACTGTATGTGACTGACGCAGGGAATCGCAGAGACTTCAGATATGTTATAAACAATTATAATTTATTAACACTAACAATACAAACATAAACGCAGTGCAATACTAAAACATAACACAGTGCAAACAAACCAAACCACCCACAGATAACAGTACCATACAATGCAAGCGTTGTCAGACAGGCCGGGTCAATATCAATCGGGCAGGTAGGTACAGGGGGCAGCAAGCAGAGAAATGGTCCGGGGTCACAGGCCAGGTTCAGCAGGGGTAGCGGGCAGCATGTAAAGGGGGGGGGGGGGGGGGGGGGGGGGGGGGGGGGACAGAGGGTCAGGCAGAGGGGTGGTCAGGGTCACAAGCCAGGGATCAGAACAGGAGAAGTCAGCAGAGGTCAGAATCAAGCAGGGTCAACAACAAGACAGGAACAGGAACGCAGGTTAACAAGATACAGGGCCCAGGAAATAAACACAACACCAAGGCAGAGTCTGCAGGTCTGAATGTCCCTTAAATACACCAGGTATAATTAGTTCCAGGTGTTTGACTGGCTGCAAGGTTGAGTCTCTGATTGCTGGGAGCACCCGCTGGCCAGCCCTGGTACTGCAGCTCACAAGGCAGGTGAGTCCCACTATTGCTGGCAGTCCATTCCTGACAGTACCCCCCCCTCAAGGAGCGGGCCTTTCAGGACGCTCCAAACAGTCCTAGCTGGGCAAAATTGTTCCACCGCCCGGGGTCTGGTAACTGGCGGGATATCAAAGACTGGCACACCGGGCAGGACTCCGGGCAGAGGCACATCGGGCCTGGACTCCGGGCAGAGGCACATCGGGCAGCGGCACACACGGGCAGAGGCACATCGGGCTGAACTCTGGGTAGAGGCACATCGGGCCTGGACTCCGGGCAGAGCACATCGGCCTGGACTCCGGGCAGAGGCACATCGGGCTGGGACTCCCGGGCAGAGGCACATCGGGCTGGACTCCGGGCAGAGGCACATCGGGCCTGGACTCCGGGCAGAGGCACATCGGGCTGGACTCCGGGCAGAGGCACATCGGGCTGGACTCCGGGCAGGCCAGAGGCACATCGGGCAGAGGCACACTGGGCAGAGGACCACCGGGCTGGACTCGGGCAGAGCACATCGGGCTGGACTCCCCCACCCCTCCGGGCAGGAGGCACATCGGGCAGAGGCACACCGGGCAGAGGCACACCGGGCTGGACTCCGGGGGCAGAGGCACACATCGGATTACAGGCGAAGCAGCATCAGGCAGCGGGCCACCAGGCGGAGCTATGAGCAACAGGCAACGGGCCCCCGGGCGGGGCAAACGGGCGTCGGGCCCCCGGGCGGGGGGGGGTGAGGGCGTCGGGCCCCTGGGGCGGGGGCGACGGACGTCGGGCCCCCGGCGGGGCGGACGGGGCGTCGGGCCCGGGGCGGGGTCGACGGGCGTCGGGCCCCCGGGCGGGGGCGACGGGCGCCGGGGCCCACCGGGCGGAGCGTCGAGGCGCCGGGGCCCCCAGCGTAGGGGCGACGGGGAATGCGGGCCCCCGATGGCTGGGCGTCGGGCGCCGGGCCCCAGGCGGGAGCGGGCGTGGCGCCGGTGCCCCCAGGAGAGGCGACAGGCATCGGGCCCGCAGGCGGAAGCGGCGGGCCCGCCGCGGATCACCCCAGGTGGAGTAGAGTGACAGGTCTCGGGCCCTCAGGCGGAAGCGGCGGGCAGCCGGACCCCCAGATGGAAGCGACAGGTTCTTCGGGCCCTCAGGCCGAACTGGCGGCGCGCCGTGACCCCCAGGTGGAGCGGAAAGGTCGCGGGCCCTCAGGCGGAGCGACGGGCACTGGATACTCGTGATGCGAGGAGAAAGGTCTGGGCACTCTGGCGGGGAGGGCGGGAGCCGGACCCCAGGTTGGAGGTCAGGTCTCGTTGCCCTCAGGCGGAGCAGCGGGCGCCGGACCCCCTGGTGGAAGAGACAGGTCTCGGGACCGCTCAGGCCGAATCGGCGGGCGCCGGACCCAGGTGGAGCGACAGGTCTCGGGCCCTCAGGCGGAGCGGCGGTGCGCCGACGCCCCAGGTGGGAGCGACAGGCCCTCGGGCCCCGGGGCGAAGGGGCGGGCGCCAAAACCCCCAGGGGGAGCAAACGGGTCTCGGGCCCGCAGGCGGGGCGGCGGGCCCCCGGGGGAACCCCCAGGGGGAGCAAACAGGTCCGGGGGCCCCCTCAGGGGGGAGCGACAGGTCTCCGGGCCCCCCGGCGGCGGGGGGCGCTGGCCCCCCCAGGGGGGAGGGGAACAGGTCCCCCCGGGGCCCCCAGGCGAAGCCGGGGGAAACCGACCCCAAAAGGCACCCAGGGGCTCCGAGCCCAATGGCATGACCGCGGGCACGGGGGGTCAACCTTGGTTTGGGTTTTGGCGGGGACAGCGGGCATGGGGTCACCAGGCATCAGGTCATTTGGTTTTTGCCAGGGGGCACCGCGTCTTTCGGAAAGGGCAGTGGGCCCCCGGGCCCCCCAGGCTTTGGATCGTCGGGCCCCGCAGGGGGGCATGGGGTCACCAGGTATGACGGCGGGCACTGGGGTCACCGAGCACTCAGGTCATTTGGCTTGCCAGCGGGCACCCGCGTCATCTGGCAATGCCAGTGGGCACCGGGTCCACCAGGCAATTGGATCGTCTGGCTCGACAGCGGCCTACGGGTTTCACTGTCCAGGTATGGACGCGGGCACTGGGACACCAGGGCATCAGGGGCATGTTGGCTTCGTGCCTAGCGGCACCGCGTCCACTGGCACAGCAGTGGGCACTGAGTCCACCAGGTATGACAGCGGGCTCGTGAGTCAATTGTGCACGACAGCGGGCACCGGATCAGTATACCGAGTCATCTGGATCCAACAGCGGGCATCGAGTCAACCAGGCCTAATTAGGAACGTCAGGGCTGATCAGATCATCCACGCTGGGTAGAGGCATCAGGCCTGAATGCCGGCGTCACGGCTGAGAAGAGGCTTCAGGCCGAGAAGAGGCATCATGCAGGCCGAATAGTAGGCATCAGCCCGAGTAGAGGCATCAGCCTAGAAGAGGGCATCCAGGCCGAGTAGAAGCAGTCAGGCCGGAGTAGCGCATCAGAGGCCGAGTAGAGGCTTTCAGGCCGAGTAGAGGCTTCAGGCTGAAGAGAGAAGGCATCAGGCTCAGACCGTACAGGCATCATCAGCTGAGTGCGATCAGTAGAGGATTCACAGGCATCAAGGCTGAGTAAGAGGATTCAGCGCTGAGTAGAGGCTGAACCACGGAAGGCAGGTTCACACGTTTTGGATACTGGAGGCATGATGGTATTGGTTGGAAAGAAATTTTCGCTTTTTTTCTGGTTTTAACTACTGGGCACTGCAAGTAAACGCAGGTCCTGCAAAACGAATGGAGCAGTCTGGAGACAGAGAAGAAGAGCTGGAGGATGAAAAGAACATGGGAAGGAACAGGTCGCTACAGAGGGCTTCTTTACAGGGTTAAAGGCAGGATAGGTGCAGCGAGTGGGAACAGGGTACTGACAACATGCGGTAGATAGCCAAGTATACTGGGCTGTAACTGGAGGATGCTGTTGGGGAATACAGGAGTAGAGCTTTGAGGAAATAGATTAGAAGCAGGACTGGGTCTTTGTAAGCTGACTGAGGCTGGGTGTAATCAAATCTGTCCATGTCTGCAGTATGGTTGAACAAAGCTGAGCTTACACAAAGCCCTGTCAGACCAATGACTGCACTGCGTTTATACAATCTCTTAGTGTGGTGAGTGTGGTAACAAGTAGAATAACGCTCCAGAAAGTAACCCACATCATCCTCTAATAACCACACCAGGGACTCTACCTTGGTCTGCAAACTAAATGGTGGCAAAAAATTCATCCCCTGCATTCGGGGGGTTTAACCAGATGAAACCAACTACAGCACAAACCTCAATCAATGCTTAGCACCTCAAGAACTCTGTGCCCTGATCTACTAGAACATGAGCGAAACCGTATACATTCTAGCAGTTCATACCGGGGATATACTCCTTCAGAGTCTGATAAGCATACTCCCTGTCATCAAACACTAGCAGATAATAAAGGATATCAACCTCATACCAGATCCATCCTTCCCATCAACAAACCAAGATGGCTTCCCTGTGCAGCCACGCCTTCTACTTCTGGGCAGGATTGGCCTGGTGAATGTCAGGGCTCCCAGGTATGACCAGGAGGTATGTGACTGACGCATGGGAAACGCAGACTTCTATCAATATGTTAATAAACAATATAATTTTATTAACACTAAACCATACAAACATAAACGCAGTACAATACTAAAACATAATACAGTGCAAACAAACCAAACCAAACCACCCACAATAACAGTATAGTACAAGCAAAGCGTCGTCAGGCCAGGCCGGGTCAATATCAATCGGGCAGGTAGGTTTACAGGGGGAGCAAAGCGGAGAATGGTCGGGTCACAGGCCTAGGTTCAGCAGGTAGCGGCAGCGTGGTACAGAGGGTCAGGCAGAGGGGTGGTCAGGTCACAAGCCCAGGGATCAGAACAGGAGAAGTCAGCAGAGGTCAGAATCAAGCAGGGTCAACAACAAGACAGGAACAGGAACGCAGGTTAACAAGATACAGGGCCCAGAAAAACACAACACCAAGGCAGAGTCTGCAAGTCTGAATGTCCCTTAAATACACCAGTATAATTAGTTCCAGGTGTTTGACTGGCTGCAAGGTTGAGTCTCTGATTGCTGGGAGCACCCCTGGCCAGCCCTGGTACTCGCGCAGCTCACAAGGCAGGTGAGTCCCCACTATTGCTTGCTGGCCAGACCATTCCTGACACACACTCGTCCCCATACTCTGCGCTGTACATTCCCTATTCTACACCGACTCATTCCGTACTCTGCACTGTACATTCCCTATTCTACAACCGACTCATTCTGTACTCTGCACTGTACATTCCCTATTCAACAACGATCATTCCGTACTCTGCACTGTACATTCCCTATTCTACACCGACTCATTCCGTACTCTGCGCTGTACATTCCCTATTCTCCCACCGACTCAATTGGCGTACTCTCACTGTACATTCCCTATTCTCACACCGACTCATTCCGTACTCTGCACTGTACATTCCCTATTCTTCTACCACCGACTTCATTTCCGTACTCTGCGCTGTAACATTCCCCTATTCTCCACCGACTCATTCCGTAACTCTGCACTGTACATTCCCTATTCTCCACCGACTCATCCCATACTCTGCACTGTACATCCCTATTCTACACCGACTCATTCCGTACTCTGCACTGTACATTCCCTATTCCTACCACCGACTCATTCCGTACTCTGCACTGTACATTCACTATTCTACAAACCGACTCATTCCGTACTCTGCTCTGTACATTCCCTATTCTACACCGACTCATCCCATACTCTGCACTGTACATTCCCTATTCTACACCGACTCATTCCGTACTCCTGCACTGTACATTCCCTATTCTACACCCCACTCATTCTGTATTCTGACTGTTGTGGCATCTAAAGATTCCAAGACCCTTCATCTTGCATGCTGCACTTTATGTTGCCTAGTCCACCCCCATCCTCCTGTGTGTTACTCTACATGTAACCTTTCCCACTCCCGTCATTCTGCACTCTATACACTTTTGTTATACATTACATGCTTCATTAATATGGCTACAATCACCGCAAACATTGCTGGTTGATAAATAATTTCCCAACTGATTTACAGAATTTCTTCTACTTTAAAATTAAGCTCAAACAAAATACATAGTTAGTCCTGGCTGAAAAAAAGAGACAAAAGTCCATCTAATTCAACCAAACAAAATTATAATCCTATATCCTCAACAGATCCAGAGGAAGGCAAAAAGCCCAGCAAAGCACGATCCAATTGGCTGCTGCAGAGGAAAAATATTCTTTCTTGATCTCCCGAGAGACAATTGGATATTCCCTGGATCAATGTTTACCTATAAATGTTATATCCAGTTTATATTCTGTGTATCTAAGAAAGAGAATCCAGCTCCCAGTCTATATTATTTTGTATAAGAAGCAAATGTAATGGAACATTTAAATTAAAAGTGTCAGTGCGATCCATTTGTCCTGAGGTATATGTGTGGGGGATCTGTGAGAGCCTTACTTGCAGCACAGTAAGATCAAAGTATCATTTGTGGGGGGGTACGGAGGAATCTGTTATATGTCTGCTGTGTATAATATAGTAGGTGTCAGACTCTATTATAACCCATTTACCTATAAGCCCACGCCCACCATTGGAATATCTGGGTGGACTGAAACCCAGACACATGATTCAAAAAACCCGACTGGTGTGGGTGAATCCTGGACAGGTGGCAACCCGAGCCTGAGTAGAAAAGCCTGTCCCCTGCATGCATGCAACAGAGAGGGGACCTTTGATTTCTGTTTGGGTTAAGGCCGGGGTCTCTCTCAGAGGTCTGACACGCTGACACCAAACAAACCCCCCCCTGCTGAGTGTCCGGAACTAAGCTCTCCAATCAGCAAAGCTCATTCTCTTAAGATTATCTTCATACAGCGGTACCAACAGCTTTGACATG